TTAACCACTGCGCCACCTTGGCTCTCAGCTGGTGAGGTCAGGCTGGATTAGCTGCTGAGGTCAGGCTGGATTAGCTGCTGAGGTCAGGCTGGGTTAGCTGCTGCCAGAGTCACAATGGATGACTCTGCTTAACTGTTTAAAAAAGCCTCTAAAAAAAGTGCCCTCTACAGGAGGAAGCAAGAGAACCAAGTGTCTCATCTACATAAGGAATTTTTTTGGCTTTTAACCCTTGCTTAACTCTGCTCAAGTGATCAAAAAGATAGACTAAATGAGGCACGTGATTCTCCCTTTTTCATTTTAATTTTTTTTTCTTTTCATGATGACAGAGGTGAGGCCCTGCCTCCCCTGACTGCACGTCACTGTGTGAAATGACTACAATGTGTGATAGTTTGAACATTCTTTGGCATTGCCTTTCTTTGGAATTGGAATGTAAACTGGCCAATCCTGTGGCCACTATTGAGTTTTCCAAATTTGCTGGAGCACTTTTACTGTATCATCTTTTAAGATTTTGAATAGCTTAGCTGGAATACTGTCATTTCCACTAGCTTTGTTTTCCTAAAGCCCATTTCACTTCACATTCTCGGATGTCTGGCTTGAGGTCAGTGACAACCCCACCGTGGCTATCAGGAAAGTTAAGCTCGTTCTTGTATAGTTCTTCTGTGTAATTTTGCCACCTCTTCTTAATCTCTTCTGCCTCTGTTAGGTCCCATGCCCATCTTTGCATTAAACGCTCTCTTCATATCTCCAATTTCCTTGAAGAGATTTCTGGTCCTCCCTACTCTAATGTTTTCTTCTATTTCTTTGTTCATTTAAGTTTAAGTTTCTTCTATTTCTTAAGTTCATTTAAGAAGGCATTCTTAACTCTTCTAGCTATTCTCTGGAATTCTGCACTCAATTGGGTGTATCTTTCTCTTTTTCCCTTATCTTTCACTTCCTTTCTTTCCTCAGCTATTTTCAAAGCTTCCTCAGACAGCCATTTGGCTTTCGTGCATTTCTTTTTCTTTGGGATGTTTTAGTTGTTACCTCTTGTACACCGTTACGAACCTCCATCTATAGTTATTCAGGCACTCTGTCTATCAGATCTAATTCCTTAAATCTATTTGTTACCTCTACTTAGAGGTATAAGATCAGGGATATGATTTAGTTCATACCTGAGTGGCCTAGTGCTTTTCCCTACTTTCTTCAATTTAAGCCTAAATTTTGCAATGAGAAGCTCATGATTTAAGCCACAGTCAGCTCCTGCTGTTGTTTTTAACTGACTATATGGAGCTTCTCCATCTTTGGCATCAGAGCACATAGTCAGTCTGATTTCTGTGTTGACTGTCTGGTAATGTCCATGTGTAGAGTCATTTCTTAGGTTGTTTGAAAAGAGTGTTTGCTATGATTATCATATTTGCTTGACAAAATTCTATCAGCCTGTACTTCATTTTGTATTCCAAGGCCAAACTTGCCTGTTATTCCAGTTATCTTTTGGCTTCCTACTTTAGTATTCTAATCCCCCATGATGATAAGGACATCATTTTTTTGGTGTTAATTCTATAAGGTGCTGCAGGACTTCATAGAACCAATCAATTTCTTCCTTTTCAGCACCAGAGGTGGGGCATAGACTTTGACCACTGTGACGTTAAATGGTTTGCCTTGGATTTGAACTGAGATCCTTCTGTCATTTTGTGGATTGTATCCCAGTATTACTTTTCCTACTATTTTCTTCACTAGGAAGGCTACTCTATTTCTTCTGAGAAATTCTGGTCCACAGAGGTATACCTGATTGTCATCTGAATTAAATCCACCCATTCCTGTCCCTTTTAGTTTGCAGATTTCTAAGATGTCGATGTTCAGTCTTGTCATCTCTTGTTTGACCATGTCCAGTTTACCTTGATTCATGGCTCTTACATTCCAGGTTCCTAGGGAGTACAGATCTTTACAGCATCAGACTTTTCTTTCACTACCAGATACATCCACAGCTGAGTGTCCTTTTGGCTTTGGCCCAGTCGCTTTACTCTTTCTGGTGCTACTAGTACTATTCCTTTGCTCTTCCCCTGTAGCATATTGGACACCTTTTGACCTGAGGGGGTCATCTTTCAACGTCATATCTTTTTGCCTTTTGGTACGGTCCATGGGGTTTTCATGGCAAAGATACTGGAGTGGGTTGCCATTTCCTTCTCCAGTG